AGTATTTGGCAAAAGCAAATTTAGGGAGGAACTTTTTTTTGCCTCAAGCTTGAGGGTATGCCATCCATTATGGAAGGCATGTCCAGTCACACTGCCTCCACAGTTGGGAAGCAAAGAGAAAGCTAGTGCCAGCTCACTTTCTTTTTTAAAAAATTAAATATTTTATTATTTTCATTTTATGTGTATGTGTGTATTGTCTGCATGTAGGTAAGTGCACTCGTGTTGTACAATGCCCACGGAGGACAGAAGAGGCTGTTGGATCCACTGGAACTGGAGTTATGGACAGTTGTTAACTGCCATGTGGGTGCTGGGAAACGAACCAGGGTCTTCTGCAAGAGCACCCAGTGTTCTTAACCACTGAGCCATCTCTCTGCCCCCCCCTCCTTTTATGGAAGGGTTTCCTTATAGACCCAGCTGGCCTGGAATTTGCTATGTAGATCAGGCTGGCCTCAATCTCACAGACCACCTGCCTCTGCCTCCTGAGTGCTGGGATTAAAAGCATGTGCCACCAGTCCTGGCGTCACTTTCTCCTTTTTATTCAGTCTGGGACCTCAGCCCATGGTATGCTGCCACCTACATTCAAACGGGTCTTTCCATCTCAGTTCTGAAAACATGTTCCTTTCGCTCCTTTTCTTCTTCCTCTGAATATTACATTTCAAGATACCTAGAACTACTAGGTCCATTCATTAAGGCCAAAACCCAAGATAGATGAGCAGAAACAGGAGGAAGATGGTCCATGATTATATTATTATCGAGCTTCTGATTCTCTCAGATTGAGGTATTCTCTATTTGGAAACTTCTGAATCTGTAATATAGGCATCTCCTTATTGTTCAATAATTATCTAAATAGGCTAGGCTGCCCTCTTAACTCACTATATAACTGAGGATGACTGAACTCCCGATCTTTCTGCCTGAATCTCCCAAGTGCTAGGATTATAGGTATGTACCATCCACTTCTACACCATTTTAAATTAAGATTTGTCAAATGTCATTCAAAGCAACTTTACTAGGGGACTACGGACTATATCGACTCAGCATCTCTCATTTGGGCTATTGCAATGCATCACTATTTCATTGTCCCTGTCCGTGTCTGTGTCTGTGTCTGTGTGTCTGTGTGTTAGGCCAGAATGAACATCTTGTGTCTCCCTAAATCATACTCTCCACCTTACTTTTTGAGAACAGAGTTTCTCCATGATCTGGAATTCAGCTAGACTGGCTGTCCAGCCACCTGAGGAAGCCCTGGTTCCCCAGGGCTAGGATTACAGATACATGCCACCTGATCTCACTTTCTTATGGGAGTTCTGGGGATCAAACTTAGGCCTTCGGCTTTGTCTGGCAAGCATTTTACAGACTAAGGCACCTCCACAGGCCCGAAACTATTCTTAAAGAACTATCCGTTTAATCATGTCTTTTCTCTTATCCAAAGACAAGTAGCCGCTGGTAGCCTGAAGACTAGGCTAAGCTCAGCACTTGTAGCTTTATGCAGCCCAACTTTCCCTGACTCTCTTATGCTATAGATACACAGAACCAAGTGCACTGCTCACACATCTCTCCTACCTTGTTCATGTTATCACTGCCTGGAATACTCTTGCTTCACTTCCACCTGCCTACATGCAATTTTACTTTTGAAACTTGCCCTGCTTCTACTTCCATGCCCTGCAAAGTGATGACTCCTTTCCTGGGCCTCTATGGTGATTATCACCATCTACCTTGCACTGATGCTATTTCTATAATCTCCTCTGCTACTAGTGCTGTTGAAGAGCATTCCTGTGAGGATGGAACACAGGGTTGACTGCACACTTTAAATGTGGGTAGTCCAACTGAGAATATGAATTTTAATTTTGTTTACATTTAAATGATCACAGGTAGCCAGTGGTTACTGTATCAGAAAGCGCAGTACATTAAAAAACTCTTGCATTCTGAATGGGATTTTTACACACACACACACACACACACACACACACAAATTTCCTGTAACCACTACAGAAAGCACCTGGAAGACAGTCTGTTCTCTTCATTTTATCCAGTCTTGTGGATAGTAGTCACTGAAGATTCAATAAACATAGAAATCACATTTACCAAGTACATAAATAAGGATTCCTGGCTAGCTCTGTTTCAAATCAAGCAGATTAAATAAAGGAAGAAGAAATACCCAGATTACCCAAAATCCAATCTGTTAGTGGGGAGAAAATGATAAGCAAATGCATCATCTGTCTGGCTCACAACAGTCCCTCTCGATGAGAGAAGGTAAATCCTAGTAGTTCAAAATTATTTTATTTCTTCTGTTGCTGCTCCGGAGATCAGATCCAGGGCCTCACACAAGCTACACACGTGTTCTACCACTGAGCACTGTATCTCTAGCCCAAGCTGTTTTTTAAAAGAATTTATTTTGTAGTAATTTCACATTCATATAAAAATTGTAAGATAGTTACAAAAGTCTAGATTCAAATTTAAGTTTTAAAATATCCCTGATTGACCAAGTTTTAAATTTTATCAGTCTCCCTTTCTGAATGTATATGGCAGATGTGAATGGATATATGTACACACACACACACACACACAAATTACTTTTTCTGTACCACTTGAAAAAAAATTTTTACCCCATTGCTATTTCAGTGTTTCCTTATGAAGAACATTATTATTATACAGACAATATTCAGAAAGGTTAACAATAATGCATTACTTACATTGAATCTGTAGCCCACATCCAACTTCACCAATTATCCCACTAATGTTCTTTAAATCATAATTTTGTCTTCCAGTAAAGGATCAACTTCAGGGTCACATGCTGCATTTAAATATCATGCCTTTTTCCGTTTCCTTTAATCTTCGGTCTTTGTCTCTTATAAAATTGACAAAGTTTTTTTTTAAAATATAAGGTTGTTCTTTCATACAATTTTCCTCTGCATGACCTTTGTCTCATGATTAGATCTAGATCCAAGCAGCTCAAAGTTGCTGCACAGACGTAGTTATACCTTCTCTTCCTTTATTGGTTCCTAGAGGGGCCCTGGACTGGACCCACCCATACCTATTATGTTTGTTAAGTTTATAAAACATTTCTATTAAAATGTTTATGTACATTTCATAACATTTCTAAAAAAAATGTTTTTACTTAAAATACCTAACTCCGTTATTTCAAAAGTACATGTTGGTTTTGTGCTTTGGTTTAAAAGACAAATGAAATCTATTTAATAATTGATTCAATTTATCTAAAATCATTGCACCAGTTATATTAAATATGGAAATATTAGAGAAGTGCTGTAAAGTATTAAGGTTCAACAACTTAGTACCGGGAATTAAATGAAGAGTATCTTTCCATTCTTTAAATCCTAATTTATTTCTCTTCACACATAAACTTTTTTTAAAAAAATATACTTTTGCTTCTCTTAATGGGATCGCCAATGGATGAAAATTTAAATTCTGATGCCTCAGAACATTAGCAGTTCTGACTTTTGAAGTGGTAAAGGGTTTGAATTGGAACTGTATCTCAATTATTTCAGATATTTTTAAAAGATGAGTAAGAAAAAAAGGAAGTGGGAGGGTTATACTTAAATGCTAAAAAGATTTTTTTGTTGTTGTTTTTAAAATAAACTTAACCCTGCACCTATGGCACTTACACTGGAAATGCAATAATAAAAATAGTCCTTTGGGATTTTTCTCGGGAGTAAGAATTACTCCAAGGAAGAAACTGGCAGCAATGTGGACACTTTGGACAGGGTCAGAAAAATGCCGTCGTCTTTTGGGCACATGAAAGCGTCAGGGTTTTCAAATAAATATTTTACACTGTGAGAAACGTTGAACGTTGAATATTTTTTTTCTTAAGGGGAAATTAAACACACTTCTTTAAGATAGAACTTTAAGTCTCCCCCTCTCCCCTCAAAGCTGGTGTCTTTGGCTCTGCTTCTAGGACTTCTAGGAACGTGCAATTAAAAAAAATCCACTCCCTCGCAGCATTTAGATCATTTTATTCTTCCCCCTCAGCTGCTCAAGAACCACCCAAGAGCCCGACTCCACACTCCGAGTCGCGGGGGCTCCCAAGACCCGGACCCCACGGCCCGGGACCATCCCGCGTCCTGAACCGGCCCGGCTCCAAGGGGGTGTGTCGCGCTCGCAGGCCCCGCGATTCCCGCAGGCCGGGCGCCCGCCTCCGTCTGTGCCCATCTGGGCCCACCCGCTCCGCGGCCCGCCACGGCCTGCAGGGTCTGGCCGGTCCCCACCCGAGCGGCGCCGCCGGCAGCCCCGCGCCACCCGCCACCCTCTTCCGGACCCGACGAGCCCCTTCGCTGACGTGCGCCCGACTCCGAAGCCCGAGTTCTCTCTCCCTGCGGCCCGGCGCGCCGGAGTCTAAGGGACTCGCGCCTCTTCAGTGTGTCCCCTCCCTCACCGTGGCCCCTCCGCCTCGGCGAGACGGGCGTGGGGAACCCGGGTGTCGGAGGCGGGGCGTGGAAACTACAACCCCGCCACGCCCGCCGCCTCACCCTCGCCGCGCGGCTGGGGGTGGGAGGGCTCGTCACAGCCGTCGCCTCGGCTGTGGCCGCAGATCTCGCGGTGTTTGCCGGCCGCCGCGCCGCCATATTGTGTGGCAGTATTTTGATGCGGACTGGGCTGGCGGAGCAGCGGCGAGAGC